TGGCTGATTGATTGGCTTCGAGTGAATGGGAATTGGTTGTGATGGAAAGTTGTTTTGCGCCCGGAAAAGTTTATTTTGAGTATGATTATCAAAAGGTTGTCTTGGCACGGGATTAAAATATCTTTGTTGTTGAACAGGATGAGTTTGTTGTTGTAACGGTGGTCTTATGTTTACAGGAGTTGCTCTGGTTAGAGTTCTGCTAGAATAATTTTGAAAATAATGGATATTGTCTTCTTGAGTGACTAATTGTGATGCTTCATTAAGTGATTTCGGTCTCATACAACGGATAGTAGTACCTAATGGTTCTTTCAACCATGACGAAAGTGTTTTTAGAGTTAGATTGTTGTAAAGTGTTCTTTTTAAAATTTTTGAAGCATCATCTACCTCATGCAAATCTATGTAACTACAAAGTAAATTGAGCAGGTTGAGGCAACGGTCATAAAACTGTTGAGGTTTTTTATTATTTTGTTGCCGCGAGTATCATCTCTTTGGTCTGCAAAGTTTCTAGACAGGGTGGCTTTGAGGTCATTCCATCTAGAAACATTCTGTATATTAATAATTAATTTGGGATTTTCTATCACTTTGGAAATTAGGAAATTCAACAAATCAGTGTTCTGAAAATTATCAGCATTCTGAGCATCATAAAATGTTCTAATTATACTGTCACAAACTGAAATACATCTGTTTAGATCATTTGGATTTCCGTCAAACTGAAGGACACAGCTTAAGTGTTCTGGTTTGAATTGTTGTGCCATTTTTTGTTCAAAGTTTTTGCTAACTGGTTCGATTGAAATATTTGAAACTTGGTATGGGAGATAGGAGTCAGCTGAAGGAATATCCAGTGATAAATTTTCAAGAATTTTTGTACAACATCAAGTTGTACTTACATCAAATAAATTGAGGCTCTGAGCACTTTCCTATAAGGTCAACTTCTGGAATCACAATTGTTGTCTTCACCAGGTAGTATTCCTTGCAAATTTGGATAATATTGGTTTCCAATTCCGTTGGTTCACTGCTGATGGTGCCTTCGACGAATCTTCGATAGATTGGGTGTCCTGATATCCAAGGAGCCACTTCGTTTCAAACACCTTCACAAATGAGCACCAACTGTTCGATAACCGATTATTCGTTAATACGAGAATTTTCCGTTCGATACGAATCAATCCCGGCAATCCTACCGACTGCGCCAAATAACTTATCGAACACTCAGTCTTTTTTTAAAAAATCAATTCATTTACTAAAACAAAAAAAATTAGACAAAGTTACGTCTTTACAGTAAGAAAGTTTGATTATGAATGCCGGCCAGTTCCCTGGAATCTTCGCAAGTCGGCTTATCTCCCGGTGTACGCTTTCGTAGACTCAGCATTCTTTCTATGGGAACCGTGTTGGACGTTGATGTAATTCACAGAAGTTTGTCTTCTTGTCTTTCCTATTTGAATAAACGGTCCGAAGCGTATAGAAGCAATGTGGTGTCACGTCAGTTCATTCCGAGAGCATGTTCAGCATAAACATCTAGCGTACAGGCGGGTCGAAAACCGAACATTGGATGGTAGCTGGAATTTATTTTGCGAGGAGAAATTTTCATTTCAGTTTTCCGTTCGGTCAGTACACATCTGTTTTCTAGGCTGAAATATATGCAATCGTGCATTACGCAATGATCATTGGTATGAAGCCTCAACAAAGTCACAAGTTCAGTATTTCCATAGTCATCAAGATTACTTTGGGAAACTGTCGGGTGTTAAAGGTAAGGAAAAAGCTGATGAGTATGCCCGTTATTTCATGTACCTATAAACCTTGAACCAAATGCAGGGGAAACAAAATCTTTGACATGGAATTACTTGGAGAAGTGGGTTTATAAGAATTATAGGAAGACTGGAAAAATATACCCGGGAACACACACGGACCATCCGAGAATGAAATTGTTTCAATGCACTGGACACTATCCATTGAGAGGATACCTGAACCAACTAGGACTGAACAATAGACCTTAGCTGAGATAATGCAACAAAGGTGCAAATACAGCTCCCAGGAGGCAAATAGTTTATTAATATTCCAACTACAAATTTATGAGTGAACGTTTTTTTTTATAAATCAAAGATAACCAAGCACATGAAAACTTTATGTTTTAGCAAAATCTGAAATAAACCTTTGAATCATCACATAGGTTCCTGATTTTGGCGCCAATGAAGTCGGGGCATCAGCTAGTGAAGAAATTTGATATTTCGATCTCTCATAGTTGACGTTTACAAAAAATTCGCTAGGACCCATTGATTTTCAGTTTGAGGAGAAACTTTTTCGATCACATTTTAACTTTCCAACTCTGATATAAAAGTCGAGTGATACTTTGCTGAAAACGGCATCCATTTCTCTTTCAACGCTATTTACTGTTTTACATCTGATGATATCAAGACATATAACTCTCAATCACGGTTCAATCAAAAACAATATGGAAGCCCGAACTGAAACGTTGGTTCTTTCTCAGATCCTGTTATCTTGATAATTTTGATGTGAACTGGGTTTGATGATGAAGATATATGTTCACTAAATCTACTTAATCCGTTTAAGTAACGAAAACTGATAAGTTCCTGCAATTTTTTAATGAACGACGTGTCGGATTTGGTAGCCGTGGTCTGCAGGTTTCTATACCGATGATCATGATGGACATTATCAAAGGCGATTATGCAACGGACGAAATACTCTGATAATTCTCAAAGCCGATACTACAGTGTTGCTTAAGGTTCTAGATTTTATTTGTTTCGTGGTGCGCCTGGCCTCATTTTTATTATTGAATCAAACGCCACGATAAGCGAGCAATCAAGTGCAGGTAATCAGATTTCATTGATATGGATTTCCTCTTTCATCCGAATTCAAGTATTTCTATTGCCTCCCTATACAGACTGTGATAGTAACTTTGGGTTCTACCGAGAACTTGGGTCTCTTCAAACGCAATAATATAGGTATTTTCTCTGAGTGCACGTTCCGCTACTGTTGACTTACCGGTATGCCACAAGCGACATTTTATTTCGTGTTCAGGGTGCCAGGTATTTACACTTCGTTACTTGGCTCCAATGTCTACCCATCCACAGCTGCAAGGAATTCGTTAAACCCCCGGTGTTGCTGAAGGCCATCTGAGTTGTTTATCTATCCTTAGACTCTCTCTGATGGTTTCAATTCACCTGCATATCGATTTCCCGTTGTGTTTCTCTAGAACTTTCTCGATACTGTCGGCAACACTCTTCATATTGGCAGGAAATTTATTGTCAGGCTTTGACATTTTTTTTCTGAGCCGCATAATCCGCTTGAAATCAGTTTGGCACTCACATCTTTTTTAAAATAATTGAGTTCCTTGGGTAGACTCTCAAGTACACAGATCCGTTTGGCTCTCTCAATTACCCCACACTTGCCGTGGCTGGTAGCTGGGGTTATTGTTGGTTTCTTATATACTATATGTCTCAATGTTTGATCTTAACTAATATGGGAAAGATGTAACCCTCGAAAACAAAGAACTAACGGACCTGACTATATCGAATTAGGAAATTCGATATAAACTAAACCAAACATCTCGGCGGATTCGATGGAAACCTCCAAATGAATCATCACCAATCAACATATTATCAACAATAGTCTCAGTGAGACCTAGAAATATATTTCGCCCCCGTATGATAGGAGAATAGTGGTGAATCTTTCTGAACGGACATTATCTATGACTCTAGCCTACGTATCCTGCGGGCCCATCATTGTGAATATTGAATCAGGGATTCCTGAAGTTATTGATGAGGCAACCCGCATTGGAACATCGAGGATCTTGACAGGCGTAAAACCACTTGAGGCGAACACAACACTGGAAGAGAGGAGCTGAAGAAGCTAAATAATGACAAGGATACACTGGTATTGCCTGTTGACAAAGGAAATGCCAAGGAATACAAGAAGAAAATTGTCATCTCACTGAATCCAGAGATGTAGTATAGAAAACCTATTCGAAATGCAACCACCAATATTCTGAAAAGAACGAATGGGTTTCTGACTGATTTCATAGTAAGTTTATGAACTACAGCTTACGAGTTGATATTCGAAAAATTTATTTAAAAAAAATATATCATATGTTTCGCCATCACAGTAACTTTTTGGTAGCGAAAAGCTACTGTGATAGCAAAACATGTCGTGATATATTTTTTGAAACTAAACTTTGTGAAGTTCAAATCTAAAGGTGTAGTTTATGACAAGAACGAATAATCTATTCCATTCATCACGTCTTGTTGATATTACGAAAATGCTGCTCAAAAAATCCGGGGCCCTATCGGCACGTCCATATGGCCTGCCATAAATTGACAGAGATAATGTGCCACCTATCGTAATGCGATAGGTTCAGCTACTTCTGAGCTGGCTGAACACTTGCAGCCGCTTACTGAAAAAATAGGACATTTTATCGAGAAGATGGAAAATGTGAGGTTATGTCCAGAAAACATCCTAGTGAGCTTCAACGTGGTCACGGCAAACATCGCTCTATTGGAACATTGTTCATCATCGACATATTTCCAGTGGGCTGGTGCTTTCTATTCACGAATGGATCAAAACGCAATGGTCAGCCTTTCAAGTTCAGTGGTAGCAATCTTTCTTATGGAAAAATTCAAACACTGAGCCTCAGAGCGAGCGGACGTGAAGCCATATTGTTGACTGCGTTACGTTGATAACAAGTTGGTTGTATAAAACTAATTACTCTCCAAGACTACATAGAGAAGCGATGTAAATTCAGGAAGAGACATTATTTCAACCAAAAGAGATCAACATTAATGAAATCTGGATACCTTCACTCAATTGCTCTCGCATTAGGTCTTTCAATCCAAAAAATATGAACGAAGCTCGTCACTGATGAAATAAATTTATAGACTCAAACCATTTATGTAGTATCAATCTCGAGGACAACCATAGCACTTTGTCCGTTGCCTCATGGCTTTTAAATATGTATACATCAGTTGTGCCCCCTTTCCAATCGAATGTGAAAAATAATAATAACTATTTTTAGCCCTGAACGAAGCATATGGTCAAGCCATAATGTTTTTCGCAGCAGGATTTGAAACCACAAGTGCCGCTATATCTTTCACTCTTTATGAGTTATGTCTCAATAAAGATATACAAGATGAGCTCAGAAAGGAGATATCTGAAACTATTGGAGAATACGGCGAAGTTACGTATGAAGCAATCCAAAAAATGAAGTATTTGAGGATGTGTATTGACGGTGAGTGTTTCCTACATAAATATTGGAACATTTAACGCATCTTGCAAACTTCCAAATGAAATTTTTATTATCAAGTGTTGAAGAAAATGGTAACTATTTATTGAGGTGATGCCTATGTGCTTATTCAGAATTATTTCATCATTACTTTTGATAGAAACAGGTCATATTAAATTAAGCGATTTTTTTTCGCAGAAACCCTGAGAAAATATCCAATAATAGCTTTTTTGGATCGTATTTGCAAAGAAGATTATGAAGTACCAAATACAAATTTAGTAATTGAGAAAGGAACACCAATATACATTCCAATTTATGGATTGCATATGGATGAAACCTACTTCACAAATCCTGAAAAATATGATCCAGATAGATTTCTGAAGAAAAATATCAACGAAGCTGGATTTGTTTATATGCCATTCGGAGAAGGACCCAGAAAATGCTTGGGTGTGTATCTTAAGTATATAATTGAGATCATGAAACATGAAATAACATCTATGAAGAGAATAATGTCGATATAAAGTGTGAAATATTTGTCAACAAATTGAAGTTTTATATTAACAAAAATACCACCGAAGTAAGAGTTAAAACAAGATCAACTTCAGAAAGAAAGGGATAATACAAAGAATACTAACATTCATATCACAAAAAAATGATTTATACAAACGGAACATTCCTGACGATTACACATTAGAATAATTTATAATGATTTTGAAAATGAACTGAGAAACCTTATCAAAGCAGCAAAAAAAGTTTTTTCCAAAGTGAAATAAAGAGAAATGAAAATAAGTCCAAAGCTCTATGGGAATGTGTAGATGAAGTCTGTAACAGAAAGATATCACAAAGATATATTGATGAAATTAGATTGTAAAACCAAAATATGATACATGCAAAAGTAGAAATTTCAAAGGAATTTAATGAACACTACAGCGAAGTAGGTTACAAACTCGCAAAAAACATTGGTGCATCGATAGCATTCGAGGAAGTGACAAACATAAAGTATTTAAAAACCAATAAAAGCATAAATACACAAATGTTGAAAAATATTTCAGAGCTAATTGTAGACCTACATTGCCAACTCGTCCTTAGAAAACGGAAATTGTCCTGAAATTTTAAAAATTGGTGTGGTCAAAATACTATACAAAAATGGGGATAGACTTGAGATGGCTAATTACAGACCAATATCATTGATTTTTAATATAGCAAAAATCTAACAAAAAATTATAAAAATTAAATTTACTGGATTCCTTAAAAAATCAACCTTCTGTCAGAACACGTATTATATCTGACTCAAAAATTAGAAGGATTTTTGTTTCGCTTCAAACTATTGAAACAATGGCTCAAAATTTCCTTTATTACTACAGTATATTATGGTTTGGTTCAATCGCAACTCTCTTATGGTATTATAGGTTGGGGAGATATCAGAAATACCCACTTGAGATGTTTGGATACTTTACAGAAAGAATTCTAAAAATTTCGTTAGGCAAAAGTAGAACCAGTGGAACACATGTATAGTACCCGAAGAAAAGAAAATACAGTTTTAGCTACATGATGCCAAAAATTGGTAGTCCAAACACACTCTAGTTATCTTGGCCCAAAGATCTCGAGCATAGTACCGGAAAAAATACAACTTATTAATAAACAAAATAAA